CCTTTAGAAAGAACCTGCTGACCTTTGATCTATAGCAAGCCGTGTTTCCAGCCTGTGACCACAGTGATTTCCTAAGGGGAACCTCCGTCTCCGTCCTCCAAAGGCCAGAATGACCTTCCTAAAGGCATCATGTTTACGTCACTCCTCCGCTCAGGACCTTCCAGGTTCACTGTTACTCAAAGCCCAAAGCAAAACCCTAGCACGGTACTCAAGGTCTTTATGCATCACTATCAGTCTGGGACACCTCTTGCCTTATGAGGGACTCGCTTGTCAACAGAGGCCAGGCAAACACTCTCACTTCCCAGAATGCACCAGGCATCTCCAGGCTCCACTCTAAGACTCCCCATCTGGAACGTTCTTCTCCCATTCCCTTCCTCCCTCTTATTTTGTGACTTCCTCCTCTCCATCCCTACCCAAGTCTGTGAAATGGGCACTTGTATCACGTTCCCTCACATGCTCTGGTGCAATAACCCATCAGCTTGTCTGTCTCGGTCTAAACTGGGTTTCTCAGCTCCTTACACCCAGCACTCCCGATCTTACTGTACCACTATGCCTTCTCTAGCCCTATAACACCCACACTTTTTGTTGGMTGGGCTCCCTGGAGTGGTACAGCATCAGCTCTTCTGAGTAAGAGGATTTCCTGGCACAGCCCAGTTACCGGTTCCTGTATTCCTGTTTGCCAGAGCTTTCCAAACCTTCTGTGGAATCTCCTCAGTAACTCTGTCATGGTCACAGGATAACAGTACCCATTTTCCAGATGAGTAAACAGAAGGTGAGAACCTGGCCACAATGACACAAAGCTGCAGGCAGGTAGAAATGGGGTCTACCCAAACCCTTTTGGAYCAAACCTTTCTACCTGTTGTGACTTTCCGCACTGACTGACATCAAGCTGAAGAGACATGTCTGATCATGAAGTAGGACACAACCAACCAGGAAGCCATGCTGTGTAGGTGAGGAAGTCCAGGGTTCGAGACAGAGCACCCAACGTGGAGAGAGGCTGCAGCAGAGAGCCACAGATGAGGTGGCAGCTGGGTGGACTCAGAAGGATCAATGGGGTGTGGAGASCAGAGAGGCTCACAGAGAACTCGAGGTCTCAAGGACCCATTAGCATGGTTAATGCCTTCGAAATCAGATGTTTCGGGCTGAGGCTGTAGCTCAATGACAAAACGCTTGCCCAGCATGTGTGGTCCTCAGCATCACATAAAAAATAATAAACAATTAAATGAATAAATAAAGTTATCGTGTCCAGTTATAACTAAAGAAAAAAAATTAGATGTATCATATAGTCAATAAAACAATGTATCTTCCTGTCTGATGCCCAAGTCCCCTTAATTTTTGTTACCTTCCTCAATTTAAAATGTTTCTGTCTTTTGAAACACCATGTAACCCTCTTAGGAAGGTTTTTCCTACCCAGTTACACAGGCACCAGGTTATTTCATACTTTGTTTCATATTTCTTTAGAACACCATTAATTCCTAATTTAATCAGATCAGCTGATTTGATCCAAAGCAAAATCCACAGATTAACTCATGTATTAAGAAAATGAAATCACCAAATTAAAAAGTCAAGACACAAGTTCTGAGATGAAAGGACCCACCTGTTGTCAAGCTATGCCAAGCTCTAGAAAACCAGGTTCCAACAAGACCTCTGACAGACTCTCCCTAGTTTCTTGGGAACGGCAATAAAAATATAAAGGGATCAAGACCCACATCTTTCCCGCAACTAGCAGAATGTAGTACATCCAAAAGCAGCACGCGTTTGACACACAGGATTCCAGTTACTTCTTGCTTCTGAGATACCTCCTCTTCAAAAGGCTTGAAAATTCTCAGAATTTTAAAACGCTTGCCCAGCATGTGTGATCCTCAGCATCACATACAAAATAATAAATAAATAAATAAAGTTATCGTGTCCATTTATAACTAAAGAAAAATAGTTGAAAGAAAAAAAAATTAGATGTATCATATAGTCAATAAAACAATGTATCTTCCTGTCTGATGCCCAAGTCCCCTTAATCTTGGAACCCTTACAAATCTTGTATTACTTTAATTAACACTTCCTTCAAAGGCATTTTAGTACAATTTTTGGAGGTGTGATCTCTTTGGGGCTTCAGGACAGCTAGAATCCCCAACAGTCACTGAATAGTATAGCACACGTGGGCTCTCGAGCCAGTCAGCAAGGCTTCAAACCCTTGTTCTGCCACACAGTAGCTGTGGGACCAAGTTAGCTGCTCTCTGTGCCTTGATTTCTGCATTGGGTTGTGTGAAGATTAGATTAACTGACACAGGTAAAGAAAGACCTTGGAACAGTATTTAGCACACAGCAAGCATTCAACACGTTAACTATCACCACCACTCGGCTAGGTCCTCTACCAGGCACTGGGGTGGGAGGACAGTGGCACTCAAGCTGAAGGAACTCCAGTCTACCTGAGACAGACAAGTGAAGGACAGTAAAAGGGTGTGAGTTCCGTGAGCAGGAACCATGCTCAGGGGATGGGTGAGGGTGACCAGACAGCACAGTGAAAACCTGCCCAGACACTCACTCTCCCCCAGAGCAGCCAACACACAGCACCTAAGCATGTGAAGACAGAAGCTAGCAGCATCTCTTCTCCCTAGAAGTCATCCTGACTTCTCTATTTTGACCCTTGGTCACCTCGCCCACCTTTCTGCACAAGCAGGAGAGGCCAGTCACCACTGTGGGAACTCTTGCTAATTTCCTGTGAGTCTGCTCACCCCAACTTGCAGGGAGATGAGAATCACTGATGGCACAATGGAACCATGGCTCTGAACAGGACAGCTAATCTGATCCAAAGCAAAATCCAATGCTTTAAAACAAATAAATTGTACACAGTCCAACACTGGCATCAGAGGTTATGACTGAGGAATTATTTGTTAAAAAAAAAAAAAAAAGTCAATGAAAACCAGAACCTTTCCCATGCTACTCGCTCCATGACCTTTGAAGTCAGGCCTGCCTACTTCTACCTGAACACCAGCCTATGCTTAATGGGCCACTGTCCCTACTGAATCAGGAGAGAACCTCATCTTTGATTGTTCTGAGGTATTTCTGACAACCCATCACAGGGACAGAAGAAAGACAGTCCAAAGTGCAGGGTTATATGAACTCTGCAGAGTGGGACTAAGATCAGAACACAACCTTCAAAAGTCTCACAAATCACAAGTTTACAAAGACACTCTGCCATATGCCTTCAGTTCTGCAGTCCAAGCACCAGAGGACAAGAACATTCCCTTGAAGTGCCTTTCTCCTCCTAACTATTCCTCAACAACATTTCTCCTTCAAAACTGAGTTTGGGCAGAACTAGTTTCTTGAGCCTTGTTGCTTTAACAATCCCCAGTTGCTAATGATTATATTTTGACATCCATTCTGTAGTAATAACACAATTCAACATCACAAYTATTTGACAAAATGATAAGATTATAAATTGTGTTAATCTCAATAGATTACATTTAAGGCATAAAGGAACTAAAATAGTTAGCTTTGAATACATACAATAACAACAACAACAACAACAATAAAGGGTAGCTAGCTATCATAAAATAACGTTACTCCCCCTTCCAAAAAATGACAACCCGAACACCAAACTTTTCAACGAACCGGGGATGTATCTCGAGGGTTTACAGCCCTTGCCCAGTATCTTAAGGCTCCAGGTTTGATCACCAGCATGACTAGGTTGGGCAAACCACTCACAATGCAAAAAGTTCTAATCAGTTTACTTCAGACAATAGAGTATTTCTGCCAAGACTTTTAAGGGAAAGAATGCTATTTTCAAAAGCATAAAAAACACATCAGTTTAGATTGAAATTTTAATTCATTCAGCTTATCAATAAACTACAAAACAGAAATCAAGACCAGCACTTAGTGTCCCACCCTACACAAACAAGCTTTGCCTTCTTTCAAAAGACTCACATGTGAGGCGGAGCTGTGACCCACTTGGCAAGTGAAACAAAAAACTAGAGTTAACATGTTTCAAATCCATACAAAAGAAACAAAATCAATAAGGTATTAGTTTACATAAAAGAGTCACCTAGTTTCTATCCCAAACCATATACCTCTTTGGCAGTGTCTGAGAGCAGTTTGCCTTGCTGCATGACCAGGGCACAGTCTACCCATGGGGCTAGGATCTCCAGATGTCCTCAAGGGTCATGGTCAAATCAGACACTGCCAGGGAGCGGAACGAGGTGAAGGAGGAGGGAGCAAAAGGTCATGAGGCGCCAAGGTGTAGGAACTCGGCCCAGACCTCTGACCAGAGGCTTAGTAATCTGGGACAGGGAAGGGTACTTGATGCAAAGACAAATCATTTTTAAGTCAAAGTCAAAGATTCACTGCTTAGTAAGATGGTTGAACAAGAACAACAAAAAAACACGAACTGTCTCGTGATTATCATTACCTTTAGAGCTCTGCTGGCTACCTGTCCACAACCCTAAACTTCAGGCCCTGCAGCCTCCGAAGCTGCATCAGGCAGCAGAGATGCCTCAAGGTTCAAGACTAAATTCTGGATGAGAGACTTTAAAGCCAATAGTGGAAGAGAAAACACCCGCAGTGAAGGCAGCCTAAGGGCAAGCTGCCCATCTGGGGTGAAGGCTACGCGCAGAGGAGGCCGGAGCTGCCTCCTGGGGACAGGCAAAGGTCCGGTGGGCGCGCCCCAGCCCTCCCCGAACCGGCCGCTACAGGACCTGCCACTAACACCGAGACACCCTCCGCGGACACTCGGGGGCCGGTGTTCACCCGCACCCCGACTTACCTTCCACGGACACAGCGAGTCCAGGCCCCACGACCCCCCAAGACCCTGTCCACCAACACCGGGAGGCCGGCGTCCGGGGCGCCCCGGGTCTCTCCAGCGGCCCCCCGAGGCCGGCGTCCGGCCCCCACCCCTCTCCGGGTCGCGGCCTGGGGCTCCGCAGGACCACGCGGGGCCGCGCGGGCGGAGGTGGCCGCGTCCCGGCGCCGGCCCGCGCGCCACCTCGTGCCAGCTCCCGCGGCCTCACCTTCCGCCACGTCCTCGTCGACGGCGCCCTTCACCTGCGAGAAGCACCACTGGAAGTCGTTGCCCGCCGGGCAGCCGCCGCCTCCGGCTCCTGCAACACAACGGGCGGTCAGGCCGGCCCCGCCCGCCCCACCGGCCCGCCCGCCCGCCCGCGCGCCCGCGGCCCTCACCCGCCATGGCCGCGGCGCGGGACGGCGCCCGCCCAGCCGAGTGCGGCCGACCGCAGGCGCCGCCGCCGAGCCTCAGCTCCGGCCGCCGCCGCCGCCGCCGCCGCCGGGGAGGGATTTTTTTCCCTTTTCAAAATGGCGCCCAATGCCCGTCGCCCCGCCGGCTGACGTCATCCCCCTCCGCCTCCTCCGACCGCCCGGGCGGGGCGCGCCGCGGGGGCTGCCGGGGGCACGCTGTGCGCCCACAGCGCCTGCGCGAACTGTTCTGATCTCGACCACACGCCACGGCCGGGCGAGGGGCGCCTTCGGACCGCTGGTCCGGCGGGCGCAGGCTGACTGTGGGCCCCTTGGCCTGTTGGACAGTTGACGTGCGCCGGGCGGTCCCCTGAGGACTAGTCGCCCCCGAGTGGGCTGGCTCTAGGGGCCGGACTTTCGCCTCCGGAATGGCCCCGCCCTTTCCCACGCCTCGGCCAATGGGAGCGGGGGCCCTCCGCGGAGCAGCCAATGGAGGGCGCTCAGCGGCAGTGGGCGGGGCGGCCGGGCCGGGCCCTCCTTACCTCTCTCCGGGCTTACAGCTCTCTTCCCTCCTGTGAATGCCCGGGCCTCGGTGGTACCCAGAGCGCTAGGGACCCTACCAAAGTGTTACTTCAGGGGTTCTAAGGTCCCAGAGTAGCCGTAGGGAAAGTGACTGGCCGAAGCACAACGAGTGGAGACCAGGGGTAGTAGTGGAAGCAGGGAGGCTCTTTCCAGGACTAGGTAGGACTCTAGGGAAGACAGCAGAGGAGCATCACCAAGGTTTTGAGCTTTAACAGGGCTGCTCTGCTGAAGACAGCCAGTGGGGATCCAAGGSAGGATGCTAGGACACCAGTGAAGAGGCCGGCAGGTGTCCGGACAAGGGGTTCAGGGTGGAATCCCACTGGTATGGTGGAGCATACCCAGTGAGTATGCATTTCAGAGATGAGTACTTGGAAGCTGGTCTCCATGGATTTGCAGAGGAGATGGGGTGGGGGGGGGACACAATAACTGCACTTGCATGATCTGAGCACCTGGAAGGAAGCGTTTCCATGCCTGAGACAAAGGAACTGTTCAGTATGTGACCCTTAGAGCCAGTTGCTTGATGGTACTGTTGAATTCAACCGAGCGCTTCCTAATTTCCTGCCTGTGGATCTSTGGGTTCCTGCTGGGATGCTGAGGTCCTCATCTGTAATAGTGGGTCCCTCTGCTTCTCCTTGCAGTCTGTCAGCTCTTGTCTCATGAGGTTTCACACTCGAGGCCCATGTGTGCTCTAGGATCCTATGTCTTCCTGCAAAATGGCTCTTTTATCATTAGATAATGCTCAGTTTATTTCTCATCTTTTTTTCTTCATTTGAAGTCTGCTCAGATCTTCCCACTTTCTTTTCTTTTTCCTTTCTGTTTCTGGTGCCTTGAGTATGTTAGGCAAGTGCTGTACTGAGCCACATCCGCAGCCCAAGAAGCCTGTTTTACCTCTAAGGACACAAATTACCAGTAAAGGGATGGAGAAAAGTACACCAGGTTAACACTAATCAGAAGACTGGGAGTACTGGGATGCTGTCTAGCAGGCACAGGGCCCTGAGTTCCATCCTCAGCACCACACACACAAAGAAAACTTGCACATATGTTTTTCTATGTCAGCACACTAGTTAGTCTTATTTTTAAAATTATTAATCCCAAATCAGTCTCTGCCTTGTAATTGAGGTGAGCCATTGATGTTTAAAGTGATTATTGAGATAGATTAATATTTACCATGTTTATTACTGTTTTCTATTTGTTGCCCTGTTGTTCATTGTTTATTGTAAATCTCTCAATTGTTCTGCTCTTTCTGGTTTTAATTGGGCAGTTTATGTGAGTCCATTTTTTCTCCTTTCTAAACATTCTTCTTTTTTACTTTTGAGTGGTTTCTCTTGAATTTGCAATGTGCACTTAGAACTCACCACTTTTTGTGTGTGTGGCACTGGGATTGAACCCAAGGGCTTGCCTGTGAGGCAAGCACTTTTCCCACTGAGCTGCAGCCCCAGCCTAGAACTCCTCACTCCTGGCACCTCCTGAGAGTGCGGTGTCTACAACAGTGTTTCCAGTCTTGTCTCCCATCCCTGAAGTGTTCCTGTCCTTCATTTCATTTACCCATGAGTTATAACCTCCTACTGTATTGTTGTTGTTAGTGCTTTGAACAAGTAGTTTTTCTAGATCATTTAGAAATAAGAAATATAACCTTTTTACTTTACTTTTTTTGGTCCATTTCTAATACTATTTCTTTCTTTATGTAGGTATGATTTTTCTGATCTATGTCGTTTTCTTTTTCCCTAAAGGATTCCTTTTATCTTTTTTTTTTGCAAATTAAGTCTGCTGGTAACAAATTCTCTCAGTTTTTCTGTCCCTGAAAAAGCCTTTATTTCACCACCTCAGAAGCATAGTATTGATGGATGTAGAATTTTAGGTTGGTAGATGGTTTTCTTTCGTATGTGTGTGCGCGCGCGTGTGTGCACACGCACGCACATGCTTGTTACTGGGGGTTGAATCCAGGGGTGTTTAACCACTGAGATACATCACCAGCCCTTTAATTTTTTTTTTTTTTAATTTTCAGACAGAGTCTCACTAAGTTGCTGAAGCTGGCCTTGAACTTGTGATCCTCCTGCCTCTGCCTCCCAACTCATTGGGATTGCAGGTGTGTGCTGCTGCACCTGGCTTTGGTGGATGGTTTTCTTCTTTCAATACTGTAAATGTCTCACTCTGTTCTCAGCTTGCTTGTGTGGTTCACAAAGGGAAGTCTGAGGTAATTACCATCCTTGATTTAATTACTTTTTCACCTGTCAAGATTTGGCTGAGCAGATGTCTGGGCTCAGCCCAGGGAGGGTCCCCACGTAGTTCTGTGGCCACTGGTAGCCAGACTGAGTTCAAGTCGACTGCTTTGTCCTTGTTTACCAGGTGGAGAAGGAAGTCAAGTATTGCCTTGTGGGGAGCCATTCTCGCACGTGATTGGGCACCTCCCTGATTGGGTGTGAGGCGTTCTGGCCAAACTGTGTCGGAGCCAATCCCCACCCTCTCCAGGTGCGAGAGCCTGTCCGTGTGGGGGTGTGACTGACCATTGACCCTGAGACCAGTCACTGACCCTGACCTTGGAATGCTGCCCCCCTCGACCTTCATTGGATGGAATTTTCCCCTGAATTTCTTGTTCCCCAATAAAAGGCCACTCCCTGGTGTGCTCTTGCTCTCTCTCTCCTGCTTGTCCTGAGTAAGCCTTGCTGTTCCACCTGGTGGTTCGAGGTGAGAGCTAGAGGGAGGGCCGTCTYGGACCTGGTCAAAGAAAAAGGTAATTGAGTCTTGTGTGTTTATTTTGATCTCACTAGTTAACTTCTATGCTATGAACCTCTTGTATGAAACCAGCGTGCTGGTCGCGCGGTGGATTGCCTCAGTCCCTGAGGTGGAGGGTGGACTTCAGATCCACTGCCACCGGAGACTGTTTCTACCACTTGCACAGCTCCCTCTGCCCCGGTGCATTCCTGTTCACCCCATGGTTTTATCAGCTGTTTCTACCAGGGGGTAAGTTGGGGGCAGGCTGGGCCCTGTCCATTCTGATCAAGGAGAATCAGTGCAGATCTCCCCAGGAGCTGTGGTCTTCCCAGCTCTGCGTTGCCGCACTTGGCCCCCAGGGGCTGTGATGCCCTGCACAGCCGAGCTGCTCTGCCTACCCTGGGTTTCTTCTTCTCAGGGGCATGGGCTTCGGCACCAACAGCCATGTTTCCTGAGGACCTCCACCAATCCTCTGCTTGACCCTTAGACCTGCTCCTTGTTTAATCAATTGAGTGTCAAGAACAGAAATTGAAGGCCCAGAACAGGGGGAACACAGGAATTTCAAGGCCCTTATATTTATCCTGTGACCTGATAATGTTCTGCTAACGTCCTGTGCTCAATAAACCAAGAGCTGTTCTTCTAGGTGTAGAGAAAGAAGCATGTGTGCCCCTCAGACCCATGCCTGGGTGTAGTGTTGGGCGGAGAGCTTCGGGTGAATGCCTGCCTTGGGGACCGACCCTGTTCCCAAACCCTGGCCGGTGTATGTGGTGGTCTCCACGGAGTGACTATGAGAGCAGTTTTAGTCCTGGTAGGAATGTGGGCTGTTTTTGTAACTCACCATACAGCCTCTGAAACCCTCCCAGACTTCAAAGTTATGTCGTCATTATAATTTCATAATGTCACCTTAAAAGAGCAATGAATGTGCTTCAGCTACGATGAGAACCTGTGGGGTCTGTGGACTCCATTCTTATCAGCCACCCGTAGCARGGCAGCTGGAAGCCCCTCTTCCCACCCCTGCACTTGCAGTGTCTGCTGCATGAGTTTGGGCAATGACTTTGCAGTTTTTCCCTCTTCTCTGGCCCCTCTGGAATCCCATGTCTCCTTCCTTCAGGGAACATGGAGTCAGCACTTTCCTGCAGCTGACTCTCCTGATTGTGTGTCAGGAGTCAGAAGCTTTTGATTTTAGTTCCTGGCTCAGCATGGTGCAGGCAGCTGGTTGTCTCCTGTGTTAGGGCTGAGGCCATGAGCCACCTCTACTGAGGGTCCTGCAGGGCATCATGGTCCTCTGGCCTTGGCTGAGATTCTTCTAGAACTATTTATGGGTAGCTGTCCAATCTCTGAAATGTGACTTGGAAAATTTCAGAGCCTATCAGATTTCCTGACCATATCAGCTTTAGTCACATCCATCCCAAGGTCACCACCAGTGAGTTGCTGTTGCGTAGACAGTAAGGTGAGAAGAGCAAGAGAGCACAGTGCTGTTGAGATGAGGAGGGGCGTCTGCCATGACCAGTAGACACCAGCCTGCTTCCAGAGGAGGAAATGGCTTCCGGGGAGAAGATGAGCTTCAGGGTCTGTGAGTATGAAAACTTGTGGAGGAGAATGAGTAGGTGATGGAGGTGGCAGTGGGTGGCAAATGTGCGGGTGATTCCTCAAAGCTCCTTAATGAGCCCTGTGGGATCCCTGAGAAGATGAGCAGGTGGTGCCGGGGCTCAGCAGCCATAGGAGAGCACCAAGACTGGTTACAGAGCTG